CTTGTTCCACGTCCAACATTGAAGGATGAAGTCCGTTGGCTAAAGGAAGATGAGGATGTAAACCGGGAGATCCGAACATCAAACCTTAAAAACATTCAAAAATTATTTTATAGAAGAATCCCGAATAAGGAGGAGGAAGAGCAGAAAGAGAAGAAGGAGGAGGAGAAAGAGGAGGAGGAGGAAGACGAGAAGTAGGAGGAGTTACTGGATGATATACTTACCGGCTGGACCTGAGTATAAAGAACCCGGTTGTAGGAATGAGATACCCTGAGATTGTATCATGTTTAACTGTTGAGCAAAAGCAGCATTTAAACCCGGAGGAAGTGGAAATCCTGGAGGAAAGGGATGACCGAATGGAGAAATTTGAGTCGGCGAAGCATCCACGTCGCAACCGGGTGGTACCGTTAATGACCCTCCTCCTCCTCCTCCTGACGTAGGCGGAATAGATTCTGCAAAGGACATTATTTGTATTATTAATCATTTTCCGTCTTCTGTCGCCATTTTGCAAATGTAATAATAATGCAACACTCACGACTCGATTCTTCAGTTATTTCGTCATTATTATTATCTTCCGGTTCCTTTTTTAAATTTCCAGATACGGGACTCATTGCTCCGTTACTGTGTTTGGCTATGTGAGGACGAAGTCTTTCAACTTCCGAAAAAGCCTGGAAAATTATCGAATTTTATTATTGGAACTGGAAAATTCTCTCTCTCTCTCTTTCTCTCTCACACACTTAGTACCTGATTGCAAGCGTTGCAATGAAAATGTTCTTTTCTTTTTAGCTTGCAAAAAGGACGAGAACATGTTTCGTTGGGTCCGTATTTAACGTGTTTATCCAGCGACATCCATTCCGGTAGAAATTCTTTGACGTTACCATCTTTGGATTCTTTGTCTTTATGACCTTTGTACCTGTCGTATTCGCGGGTCGCTCTCGATGATTCGTTTTGTAATTTTATCAATTTCGTCAAAGGATTGTTGTGATTGTCGACGTCTGAATCTGTCGAAATACCGACAGTCAAAAAAAAGTTAATTAATTAATGGAAAATTTTTTTTCTCCAGGAAAATTTTTTTTTTTTGTTTTAAATTTTACCTTTAGAATCGATAAAATTCGGATTGATTAAGAAATTTTGACTCGGAGAATGACTCGGAAATAATTTCGAAGGACTGACCGGTTGTATTTTACCAGTTTCCGGTTTTTGATGTTGTTGTTTGGAAAAATCCGGACTTAAATCCTCGGATTTACGATTCGAAAGATTTTCCGGACTGTTTTGTTCTTTTACAAATGATTTAACTGGAGAAATCGATCTTCCGGATAGAGAACTGCTACTCCTCGGTTTAACCATCCCGAATCCTTTTACTTTTTGTTCGTTTCCGTTGTCTTGAAATGCCGAAAGCGGGTAAAAAGTTCCAGATGCTTTAACTGGAAGGAGAATGAAAAATTTCCCGTGTCAATAGAATCGCAAACGAGGTAAAAAATTAAATAATTAGATAAATAATTGTAATCCCCTCCCCTTCACCGACCTGTCGTTTTAGCAGGAGATGAAATCAATTCTGGAGAATTAGTTTCCAGTTTGTTGATGTCGTCATCTCCGCTCGGAGGACTCGGTGACGCTCTTTCGTTTTCAAATTCTTTCGCGTTGTTCAAAATCCCTTCCGCGTCTTGATTATTATTATGATTCGCATCGTGGATCGCCATTGTCGAGTAACGGACGAATGAAAATCCACAATTCGTACGAGTGCAATGAAAATGTCTGTTGATCTTATTGCTGGAAATCGAAAAAAAAAAAAAAAAAATTCAAATTCGTTCGTCCGACGGTGATTCACATGGAGAGGAAAAAAAATCAGGAAAACCAACTTGATGCAATTGGAAAATTGACAATCGATGTTTCTGTCGTAGAAGACGAAACCGTCGAGGATTTCAAAACTCTCGTGAAATTCTTTGGAATGAATGACGACCAAATGATTGTTGTCGGTTGAAAAAAAACAACGAGGTTGACTGCAATGATAGTGAAGTTTGGCAAACCTGCAATTCGATTCTGGACAACAACCATCTTCAAAACTATAAAATCCATACGACGAAGCATCCAATTGCGCCTGGAAACAAGACGAAAACTTTTTTTTTGGTGGAAAACTCTCTCTCGAATCCCTGCAAAAAAGAAGTCACGTTCAGAAATCTTACCGGACTCGATTCTCTCGAATTATCTTCGTTCATCGTCGGACTAGACGGGGATTCGTTTGTTAAATCCACCATATTTTCACTCGTTTGCGACGTGTTACTTTCTTTTCTAGAAGAAGATGGCGACGGTTTGGGAAGTTTAAAAGATGTGAAAATAGCTTGGGGTGAATCGTTCGAAGATCCCGGTGGGCCATTTTGATTCGCCTGAAAAACAAAATTTTTTTTTTTTATTAAATTTTTACTTTTGTTTGTTTGTTTGTCTTCCGTTTGTTTCTGAACGTACGTTGTCGTTCCACACTTCTATGATTCGATTTTTAGGCGGACGTCCTCTTTTTCTTCTAAACATTGCATCCAAACTATTTGCCAAATGTGTGTTTGATAAATTCGCACCCAAAACGGATGCTCTCCTCGTGAATTCGTGATTTTTATAATGGTCTAACCTTTGAAAAGGTTTATCCGTGTGAAGAATCGTTTCCTTACAACCATCCTAAAAAAAATTTTTTATAAAGAAAACAATTTAAAAATTTTTTCAAACGGACATTTTTTTTAATTTTTTAAATGGAATTTACCCATAGGCAGTGATAATGCCTCGAAGTTTGGTGGCATTCGGAATCAAAATGGCACATGCTATCATTAACGGTTATAAAATTTAATTCAGTCACTTTGTCTTGTTGGCTATGATTTCTTGCGTGTTCTCTCACGCCATCTTTCGTACTGCAAAAGAAACAATACGTTTAAAAAAAAACTCTCCGATTAAAAAAAAAAAAAAGCGGAAATGGAAATAATTAACGTACCGGAAAATAACGTTACATCCTTCTGCCACGCAATGAAAATGATCCTTTGCAGCATCTTCGCACATGCTACCATCTATGCAAATTTCGTTCGCGGCAAAAGGTTTTAGGTATTTGCACCAAATCTCATCGTTTATTCCGATGGCGGCGAGCGAAGTTTTTTCCGCCAAATATTTTTCGTAGTCTTGTTCGAGTGATAAACTTCCGGCGTAATTAATCGTTTTACTTCCGGTGTTTTTATCATTGGACAAATCGATCGGTGCGATGCTATCGTTGTCTACGCTATCCGTCGGTGAATTTCCACCGTCGGTGGCACCACCGCCGCCGCCGCCGACGTTTTCGTTATTATTATTATTATTGTTGTTATTGTTGTTGTTGTTTTTACCGGCAGCCGTGGCAGCTGCGGCCGCCGCCGCCGCCACGCTCAACAATTTAATAACGTCGGGATTTTTGTTAAGAAATTCTTGCGGGATTTTCTTAAACAATTCCGGAAATTTTTGAACAATTTCCGGTGCTTTGAGCAACACTTCCGGGTATCTTTCCGCGAGTTCCATCGAATTTGTGAAAAATTCAAAATCCGTCGATGGTTTTTTATCGAAACCCTCGGAATTTTCCATCTCTTGTATTTTTTGTAAATTTTCCAATTGTAATTTTTGCAATGCTTGAAAATTTGACGATCCGATAGCGTACGGAGATTGTTGGACGGAATCGTAATTTCCTGAAGAGTGAGAGAGAGAGAGAGAGGGAAATTTACAATTAAAAAAGGAAAACGAACGGAAAAACTCAAAAAAAAAAAAAAAAATGGAAAAATCAACTCACCCGGCATTCCAAACCGCGTGAAATTCGATGGAAGAATCGGAGGAGATGCTGGACCACCACCACCGCCATCCGACGAACATTCTCCGTTACTCATTTGTGATAAATCCAACGTGGCCGCTTCCAACTATTAAACAAACCCAATAATAAAACAATGTGAGTGAGTGAGAAAGAGAGACAAAGAGAAACAAAGAGGCAAAATCAATGTCCAGGAAGGAACCTGTGTCCGGATTACCTGTTCGAAACTTATTGGAACGCCATCTTGTAAACTTTTCATCATGGATTGTGATAATTTAAATTTTCTATACGCCAATTCGGAATCTTTACGTTCGTGTTTTCTCTTGTGACTGAGCAATTGTCCAGAACTATGAAGAACGTAATTACAATTCGTTCTTATGCAGTGTATGTGATTGTTGATGCGAGAAAATCTACAATTATCATATCCGCAAATTTCGTTTTTCATAAATTTTTTAAAACCGTCACGTGCGAGTTGTTCATCTTTTATATGATAAGTCTTGTGTTTTTCTAAAAGAAAAAAGTCGCCGACCCCCGGCGGGAAAATAAAAAATCAGAGAATTTTCCAATAAATTGTGTTGCGGCGTTGTGTAAGGAGCGTCCATTTTGCATATATGTACATACCCATGTCGGCTTTATTTTTAAAAGTGTATTGACAATTATCTCGCCTGCAGTGAAAATGAGTCGTTCTCTGACCGAAGAAAGCACAATAAGAAGTCCGACATTCTTCCGTCGCTCTGTACCTTTGAAAACCTTCTTGTATTATGGCGGAATCTTTACGATGGTAATTCGCATGCATTTGTACGTCCGACGTGCTTATGTACGTTTTATCGCAACTTTCCTACATTAACCAAAAAAGACGTTAAATGGAGGGTTAAAATTTTTCTAGTGACACGTCGTTCGAATGAACACTATTACTCACGTGCACGCAATGGTAGTGTGTTTGCTTTCGATTATGTTGACAATTTTTGTACTTTTCGCTGCAGTCATCCATCGGGGAATACCTAAGAAATCCATGTTGAAGACTTTCGTCTCTTTTTTTGTGCCATTTAAAATGACGTATCATTTCTTCTTTTTTAACGAAAACTCTCGAACTGCAATCGAGACAATGAAAATGTTCCCTACGAAACGAAATGAAAATTCGAAGTCGATTGTCATAACGAGAGGTCATAACCTCTTTTTTTTTTTAAACGAGCAAACAAACAAACAAACAGACAAACCTGTAATTTAAATCTTTGCAATATGTGCTCCCGCATTCAGAAGAACTTGAAAATCTTTTGACGTATTTCGAATAATCAATGGGAGCTGAATTTTTCGAATCTCTCGTCGGACTAGTCGTCGAAAGTCTCGAACCTGAAAATTAAAAAAAATTTTTTTTTTTTGTACTCATTCGAATATTAATTACGCAAGGCGGTGAGAAAAGAAAGAGAGAGACAGAGAGATAGAGAGAGAGAGAGAGAGACCACAAGTTTTTTTTTTTTTAATCCGTAAATAATTTAATAAGAGATAAAAAAAGACGAAGGCGTTGTCTGGACAACTACTAAACTGGTGTCTGCTTATGAGACAACACAACCGCGCCCACGTGTCTGGAATACATTTACACGCGGACGACAACAACAACAACAACAACAAACACATTTGAAAAAAAAAAACAAAAAAAACGTAAGGAACACGCCGCGTAAAATAATTATAAAAAAAAAAACTGAAAAATCCCCTCACGATCGACCTATTATCATTATCATTATCATTATCATTATTATTATTAGGAAATTTTCTGCCAAAAATTTTTTTTTCTGCTCAATCATTCTTGTCTATTTAACAACAACAAAGGAAAAACATAAAACCAAAACGGGGGATAAATTATGACCAATTGAAAAATAATAATAATAATAGCGATAGATAATTAAAATACGTAAAAAACGAATTGTGAACGAAGAATGACGTGGAAGGAGAAAAAATTAAAAGGAATGAGAAAGAGAGAGAGAGAGAGAAAATTTTGTCGGACGTGGCGGCAGACACCGTACAAATGAAAACATCACACGACAAACGAACACGAAAGACCTTCTTCCTCTTCCTCTTCATACATTTGTGACATTCTCATCATCATCATCATCATTATCATCGTAATCGTAATGTCCGTGTACCTGGCGCGGGCGAAACATGTAAACCTGACTAACTGACTGACTCTTTTGCGCTCACGGGTCGCGTGACTACAAATGACGATGGCACGCGACCACCAAGAACCTGTAGGGCGACCGGTATAAAAATTGCCATGGGTTTTTGTCGTGTGACACACGAGAGCGGAACTCCGACCTTGAAAATTTTACTTTTTATCATCATCATCATCATCATTATTATTATTATTATTACCGGAAATTTTTTTTTTTTTTTTATAATACGAAATTTTTTTAATAAACGTTACAAAATGGGAAGAAAATTAATTTTGACGTCATTTTTAATTTTTTTAAAGGAGTAAAAAAAAAAAAAATAATAAAGATGACGTCACGAGCGCGTTCAGGTATCCTTCGAGTTTTTTTTTCTCTCAATCGAAGTATAAATTAAACAAACGTCTTGTTTGTCATCGTCATCAATTAATTTATCAACCCGCCTTGACTTCTCTTTCTCTCTCTCTCTCTCCAACCAATAAAATAAATAAATAAAACGTTTTAAATCAAAGTATTAATAATAATGATGATAATGATGATGATAATACCGAGAGAGTGAGAGAGAGAGCGAATCGTTTGTTTACGTTAATAATTCTCCAGCGTTCCCACATTTTTCAAAAAAAAAAAAAAAATTATTTTTTTATTAATTCTCCGGAAGTTTAAGAGAGAGAGAAAGGGAGAGAGAGAGAGAGAGAGAGAGAGAGAGAGAGAGAGAGAGAGAGGAATACATTTACGTAATTGTCATTTCCCTTTTGTTTAAAAAAAAAATGAATTAAATTAAATAATTTTTTCTCTCTCTTTCTCTTTCCCTAGTGAAACAATATGAATCTGTACGAAATCGAATTAGACACGGATTATTAGGGAAACGAAAACAACTCCCCACCACCCCCACACGGAGGGGAAAAAGTTGTGATAAAGGGATTCTGGAGAAAGAAGGTAAGCGAAAGCATAATATTAATAATAATAATTCACACGGTTATAAGGGTAATTAAAAAAAAAAAAAAAAAAAAAGGGAAATTTTTTTTTTTATGGATACGAGAATTTTGTGTGGATTTCATAGAGTAAATAAAACACATTATTATTATTATTATTATTTTTAAAAAAAAGTATTCGGTTAAAAAACGATGAGAATATTTTTTTTTTTTATAAGAATGAGAAGGGATATATTAAGATAAAGAGTGAGTGAGAGAGAGAGAGAGAGAGAGAAAGGGAAGAAATCGGTTTTGGAAAGGATGTCGTTTTGTTGAAAATTAAATACTTATAAATAAATATGGCGGCGAAACAGAAGGGTAAAAAAAAAGGGGGGGATTTTTTTTTTCGATTTCTCGACAACCACTTAACGGAAAAAAAAAAAAAAAAATTTTTTTCGAATCTCACGCATGTGGATTCGATCCTGCGATCCGTCGACCCGCACCGGATTTTTTTTAAATTCTAAATAAACATCGCGAAATAACGGTCGATTTTGTAATAATAATAATAATAATAATAATAATAATAATAATAATAGAGAGAGAGAGAGAGAGGATATTGGAAATAACCCTTAGCCTTTATCCGCGGTTAACCTTCACTTAAATATCATTCGTTCCGGGTGGGGTGTGAAGTAGTAGGAGGGGGAAGACTATCGATCGTAAACCGGAAACCAGACGCTCTCGTTCGGAATCATTTTTTTTTTTTTTTTTTTTACGAAGAAGAAGGAATTCTATCCAGAAAACGGAATCATATTTTATTCATTTATTTTTTAAAAAGTGTGATAACGATAAGAATAAATTCTTCATCATCGATTATCATTAAATATGAGATCGAAAATACAAATTCGATATCTCGCGATAATTAAACGACGACGAGACGTCGGCTGCGTTGTGACGTCACAATCGCGTCGTCGTCGGCGGCGGTCGGGACGTAACGAAAATTTTCTTTTTTTTTTTTAAATGCTGGGAAATTATTATTATTATTTAAGGTAATAATCGTTACCACCCCCCCCCCAAAAATCTATTGATTGTTATTAATCACAATCGATAAAATTGTGGGGAGTGGGGGAAAACATTTATCAATTATCAAAACCGGAACAAATATAAAATTGATTTATTATTTATATGAAAAATTTATTATTACTCTATGAATGATGACGTATGTAACGTTCGATCATCATCATTCTTATTCATCTTTGCATGTTTTCACGTTTGGCATTTCTTTTGTCGCCCCACCTCCCGTCCTGCCCCCTGCCACACTCACCTCCCTCCCCCAATCCCACCGCAGCAACTTTCATCCTGAACGATTTTGAGGAATGAGGGGGGAAGGAGGAGGAGAGAAAATGGGGAAAATGGGAATTTCTTTTAGCGAACCGTTTCCGTTCGTACCCCGCACGCACGCACCCCCACCCCCACGCATTCGAACGATAATAATAATAATAATAATAATAATGGAGAAAATTGAAAAAAAAAAAAAAAATTAATTAAAAAAATTTTGTTTTCCCTTCGATCCCCCTTCTCACCTTTCGATCCCTCTTTTCATTTCCCGTACCTTTTCCCTCTCCTTCCCCGTCGTCTTAAATATTTTATTTTTTTTGTCATCACTTCTGCCACGTCGTCAATAATTCAATTCGCAATGTAACAAATAACGACTCATTTCCATATTTATTACCTTCTTATTAATAAAAAAAAAAAACAAAATGATTTACGATATTATTATTATTATTATTATTATTATTATTGTCGTTACGGAAATTTTTTTTTTCGGCGTGTAATTGGGGAGAAAAGGGTAGGGGGTAGATTTTAGAATTAATAAATGTACATTTAACACGCGGATTTATCCAGAGATTCGAACAGTTCCCCCTCACCTATATAAATTAATATAATCTTCGGCATAAGCGAAACATAGAATTTTCCGCGCGACGAAATAAAAGTACAAATTGATAGGTAGGGAAAAATTTCGATACTAACTCTTAAATCGATATATCGAATCGATATCGATAAAACGCTTGACCCGTCGCGGGGAGTTTTTTTCAAAAAAAAAAAAAAAAAAAAATCTCAATCCCCCCCCTTTTCTTTTTTGTGTGACGTGATTTTTTCCGACGGAAAAAAATAAAAGGGCAATTTAAATTTGTTAATTTTTTTTTTTTTTTTTTTTTTCATTTTAAATTGAACTCATTAATTTATAAGTTAAACGTGTGCGTTCGTCATTAATTTAAAAAAAAAAAATTTTTTTTTTTTCCACGGAATAAATCTCAGCAATTCAGATAATACTTTTATTAATTGAGGAAATTACTTGATGAGAGTCAAGAAGGAATATTAAAAGCGAGAGAGAGAGATTTAAAATTTTATAAAAAAAATTATTACGCCGTTTCGCAAAAACGAACAAACACGATCATTTAAGAATTCATTTTTTTTTTTTTTATTTTTTTTTCGGTGAAACGAAATTGATTTTAAAACGAAATGTAAAATGCGAGGAGTGATAAATGAAAAACAAACGTACGATGTAGTCTTTTTACAATTCTACACATTCGTTTCCACGTTTAATTAAACTTGATTCGTAATAATAATAATAATAATAGGAATTTAAGGGAAGAAATTCTTTGTCGGAATTATAAAAAGTCCACGTTTGTTAAATACGCGACAATGGTTACAATTAGTTTTTTAACAATACGAAAAAAAAAAAAAATTTTTTTTTTTTTTTTAAATAAACCGCGGACGTAGAAATACAAAAATGAAATAAATCATCTTTTAAGAATTTAATTTTGTGTCATTGTAAATATTAAATGAATATCTTTCTCACATTGATAAAAAAAAAAAAAATTCCATTTTTTTTTTTTCATCTCCTCTCTCTCTCTCTCTCTCTCTCTCTCTCTCTCTCTCTCTTCAATTGGTCTTTTATTGAATTTAAAAAATTGTTTTTTTTATCATTATTATTAATTTAAAAATGATTTTCAAAAGCCGCGTCGTCGTAAGAGTTTTAAAATTCAAAACGGCCAAATAATAATAATAATAATAATAAACGACCGACATACGAA